AATAAATCGTGAGACTTTTTGCAGAGATCTCGCGAAAGGTCACTGAAACGTTTCCAATGCAAGTTAAATATTAATATAATAATTAGATATTATATATAATTTGGTAGAAAAACTGGAAACACATTTGGAGTGTTTTTACGTTTTATTGGTGCAAAGATGAGTAGTGGTGATATTTATTTTGTACAACATTTGCAACTGCTTTTTATCACTTAATTAGAAGCACCACAAATTAAAATTATGTCATGTTATAGGGACTACTGAACAGACATTTAGAAGTTGATTTTAAAATGCAAAGTATTAAAGTTAAAATAAAGCTAAACACTTGCATTTTTACAACACTACGAGTGTGTCCCATCAGGTAAAGAAAAGTTCAACACACACTTGTGGACTCATATAAGTGTTCAAGTGGTCAAGTGCAAAGACCGCAAGCGTGGGTATATGGACAAGGCAACTGAGTCTTGCATTAAGTGAGGGTTGTTGGTTTTTATTGTTACTATTGTTATTTGAGAGTGTTTTAAGTTCAGATGTGAAGTGTTCGTCAAATAATATACTATAAGTGCCATTAATCTATGCATTTTAACAACTTAAAATTTGTTTTGAGCAGGTGGGTGGGCTCTTCATCCCTTTAATCGTTCTATGTACCTTATATATTAAATCACGTTCCTAGACGCTGTAGGAAACTTGATGCAATGTCAGAACGACCCGATTAATATTTATACCGTATCTTGCGCTCGGCGCTCTGATTGGTCGGTGTACGCGTACACAGTATGGCAAGCCAAAGTATTCATAAACGCCTGGCCGTGCATCTGATTGCACAGTGACCCGCTAAAAGCGTGCGATTTCCCATAAAAACGCGCGTTCCTAACGTGCGCTTTGGAGTCACGGAAAACCAGGCTTTTATGAATACTTTAGCTTGCCATAACACGGAGACAGCGGCACACGGCGCATGCGCGGAGAGGCGCGCATTCTGTAAGCGGCGCGGGCGGTGCGGAGAGGTCTCAGATTGCGGAAGTCTGGACTTTAAAAGCGGGCGTCACCGCATCAGCATCTTCAGGCGAGAGAACAGCCGAGACGCTCGCGCTGCCGGTGCTGGTAAGTGACCGTCTCTGAGCGCATGACGTCATGCTTTCACACACACACACGCGCGCGCTGATTATTGATTATTCCGATTGATCTGATGCATCTTCGATGCAGCAACTTTATAAGGTGGGTGGGCTCTTCATCCCTTTAATCGTTCTATGTACCTTATATATTATATCACGTTCCTAGACGCTGTAGGAAACTTGATGCAATGTCAGAACGACCCGATTAATATTTATACCGTATCTTGCGCTCGGCGCTCTGATTGGTCGGTGTACGCGTACACAGTATGGCAAGCCAAAGTATTCATAAACGCCTGGCCGTGCATCTGATTGCACAGTGACCCGCTAAAAGCGTGCGATTTCCCATAAAAACGCGCGTTCCTAACGTGCGCTTTGGAGTCACGGAAAACCAGGCTTTTATGAATACTTTAGCTTGCCATAACACGGAGACAGCGGCACACGGCGCATGCGCGGAGAGGCGCGCATTCTGTAAGCGGCGCGGGCGGTGCGGAGAGGTCTCAGATTGCGGAAGTCTGGACTTTAAAAGCGGGCGTCACCGCATCAGCATCTTCAGGCGAGAGAACAGCCGAGACGCTCGCGCTGCCGGTGCTGGTAAGTGACCGTCTCTGAGCGCATGACGTCATGCTTTCACACACACACACGCGCGCGCTGATTATTGATTATTCCGATTGATCTGATGCATCTTCGATGCAGCAACTTTATAGAATTGATGATTGAATTGAGTTTGCCATGCACAGGATGCGTATTAGGAGAGAGTGACTTGACACTTCTTGCTGTCACAACAATGTCATGCAGGAATACATGCGTGTGTATGTTTAATCGTGTCAGATGATGATGATGATGAGCATTTGTTGCAGACTGTGTGTTTGTAAGTTCAGATGTACGAGTGTTTTGGGAGATCAGAAGCGATCTGTCATGATCAGGAGGACAAACAGCTGTGCATCCTGATGATGTAATGGCTGTATTTTCATCAAACATTAGGAAATATTCACTTTTATTTAAAATACTTAAATAGTTGTGTTGTTTGCGATGTTGCATTTGCAGTGCTATTGCATATTGTATTATAATCAAAGAGTTGCATGCATTATTGTCTTTTTCTACTTTACATTATGCATTAGTAGTCATTGAGTCTTGCATTTTTGCTATATCTTATTGCATATAGTCTTGTAATCAGTTAGAATATGCAATTATTGCAATACTGACCTATACTACAGTAAAGTTATTGAGTCTTGCAATTCTGCTGTTATATCCTATTCCAAATGTTATTGCTTGTAGGACTATAATCAGATTTAGCATAAATTATTTTCCAAGTGTCTTATAACACATAAACTACTGAATCTTACATTTTTTTGCTGGTATATCTCATTTAAAATCGTATTGCATAAATGATTAAAATCAGTAATAAGAATATGCAATTATTGCAATGCTATACTATAGTAAAGTTATTAAGTCTTTAATTTTTGCTGTTGTACTTTATTTCAAATTGTATTGCATTTAGGATTATAATTAGTGTTTGCATAAATTATTTTCCAAAAGTGTTTTACAATATTATGCAATGCTGTACTGTACTATACTGCATTTTTTTGCCAGATTTTATTTAAAATGTTATTGCACATAGGATTATAATCCAAGAGTTGTATAAATTATCCAATAGTCTATGATGATGATGATGATGATGATGATGATGATGATGATGATGATGATGATGATGATGATGATGATGATGATGATGATGATGATGATGATGATGATGATGATGATGATGATGATGAGCATTTGTTGCAGACTGTGTGTTTGTAAGTTCAGATGTACGAGTGTTTTGGGAGATCAGAAGCGATCTGTCATGATCAGGAGGACAAACAGCTGTGCATCCTGATGATGTAATGGCTGTATTTTCATCAAACATTAGGAAATATTCACTTTTATTTAAAATACTTAAATAGTTGTGTTGTTTGCGATGTTGCATTTGCAGTGTTATTGCATATTGCATTATAATCCAAGAGTTGCATGCATTATTGTCTTTTTCTACTTTACATTATGCATTAGTAGTCATTGAGTCTTGCATTTTTGCTATATCTTATTGCATATAGTCTTGTAATCAGTTAGAATATGCAATTATTGCAATACTGACCTATACTACAGTAAAGTTATTGAGTCTTGCAATTCTGCTGTTATATCCTATTCCAAATGTTATTGCTTGTAGGACTATAATCAGATTTAGCATAAATTATTTTCCAAGTGTCTTAGAATACATAAGCTACTGAATCTTACATTTTTTTGCTGGTATATCTCATTTAAAATCTTATTGCATAAATGATTAAAATCAGTAATAAGAATATGCAATTATTGCAATGCTATACTATAGTAAAGTTATTAAGTCTTAAATTTTTGCTGTTGTACTTTATTTCAAATTTTATTGCGTTTAGGATTATAATTAGTGTTTGCATAAATTATTTTCCAAAAGTGTTTTACAATATTATGCAATGCTGTACTGTACTATACTGCATTTTTTGCCAGATTTTATTTAAAATTTGATTGCACATAGGATTATAATCCAAGAGTTGTATAAATTATCCAATAGTCGTTTACTATATTAAGCAATATTATAGTTATACTATAGTTATAGATGCATTTAATATCCAGTTGCCTTCTTGAATAACTTTATATTTACGTAAATCTGAGTTAATGAACACAATAATATAATTCTGAATGCAGTATCAGTGTTGCGATCAGTCAAAACCTCATTTGGCTGATGCACAGAAAAACAGCCTTGCATGTGGAGACTGACACACATGTGTGTGTGTGTGTGTGAGAGTGTGTGAGTGTGTGTGTGTGTGAGTGTGAGTGTGTGTGTGTGTGTGTGTTTTCACAATCATATATATATATATAAACGATAAAAATCAAGCTAGAAGTCCACAGAGTTTAGGAAAGTTACTTTTAAAAGTAATGCATTACAATATTGCATTACTCCCTACAAAAGTAACTAATTGCGTTACTTAGTTACTTTTTATGGAAAATAAGTGTTATATTACTTTTGGGCTACTTTTTCTCATCTGGGCTGGGCTTGCTTGTGTGTGTGTGTGTGTGTGTGAGTGTGTGTGTGTGAGTGTGTGTGTGTGTGCGTGTTGCATGCGGACTGTTGTGCTGAATAATGCTGTATAATCTTCAGTGGAAATCTGCAGCAAACACATTTTCCAGCCCAGTCCGTCACAGCTCATATATATATATATATATATATAAACGATAAAAATCAAGCTAGAAGTCCACAGAGTTTAGGAAAGTTACTTTTAAAAGTAATGCATTACAATATTGCATTACTCCCTACAAAAGTAACTAATTGTGTTACTTAGTTACTTTTTATGGAAAGTAATGTGTTATGTTACTTTTGCGTTACTTTTTGTCATCTGGCCTGGCTTGCTTGTTTATTTTTAATATAAAAAAGATGTTTTAAGATGTTTATGTTTATCTAAAGTCATTTTTGCTCATTAGTATGGTTGAATTAGATCATCAAAGGTCAGCAGCAAAGACTTTGGTTAATATAATGGGATTAAATACGTATATACATACTTGTAATGCATTACCCCCAACACTGAAAGTCAATTTAAACAAGTTTAGTGATCATTAAAAGTAAATAAATAGATAATCTAATCCACAAGCTATTAAATCAATGTGAATGACAAATCTGAGCACAATCTGAGATATTATTGAGATCTTTTGAGGAGACTCGTCGAGAAATCTAGAGAGAAAATGAGAACGAGCTTCTTGTGTCCAAGATGTGATTATTTTTGTGTTTTCCTTCGGTAAATATCTACATTTAGATTGTAGATTTATTGTCATTGTAACAAAATTACAATAAAATTCTGTATGACTCAATCCAGTAAGCATCGTATAGATCCAGTGATGTAAATCCAATAATATATAAACAAAATAAATGATCAGAAATCAATGTTGAAGTCAACATAAACATCTTTTGTGATTATCAAAAGTGCAAAAGTAGATAAATAGATCATCTAAACCAGTAGCTATGAAATGAATGTGAATGAGTTCATACTGAGATCTCTGACAAATCTGAGAAAAGTGGTAGATCTGTTCTGGAGCTAGTGGACATCTTGTGAGAAACGTGTGAGAAACAGGAGAAGAGTACACATCTGCATTTAATCTCATTGCTGTCTGGGAGAAACGATTGAGATATCAACAAGATCTCATTTGTGATATTCTTTAATATGAGGAAGTTCTAAGATGTGATTGTGTGTGTGTTTTCCTTTGGCTAATATCCTTTCCCAGCTCTGTTTTTAGTGACAGGAATCTCATTGCTGTCTGGGAGAAACGATTGAGATATCAACAAGATCTCATTTGTGATATTCTTTAATATGAGGAAGTTCTAAGATGTGATTGTGTGTGTTTTCCTTTGGTTAATATCCTTTCCCAGCTCTGTTTTTAGTGACAGGAATTAGTGAAGCTAATTAACCATCGTTCTCTTTATCTTCGCAGCCGATTAATCGTTTGCAATGATGTCACTGCAGAAGCCTCCGCTCAGGCGCAGCGCATCGACCATAGAATCAACCAATCACGGCGGCCCACTGTTGACTCCGCCCACCTCTCTCAACTTACGCTCCTCCCACAACCAGCAGCTGAGCTGCGACACCATAAAGGAGGATGTGGTCACCGTTTCCAAGGAAACGCAAGACTCGAAGAGTCGCCAGAAATACGCGCTGACCAATATCCAAAACGCAATGGGTTTGAGCCAAAACCCCACCCCTTTGAATCAAAGCCACGCCTCCTTTGACCAAAGACCCGCCCCAACGAAATCCGCCTCCTCTTCATCTCTCTACTGCTCCTCGCTCTCCTTCTCCGCCTCCAATCCCAAACTGGCCAAAAACGGCACCAACCTGCAGCTCAAAGAGGAGCAGCTGGACCTCAACAAGAACGACAGGAACCTGGTGAGGAGCAGCTGGGATTATCTGGAGGGGAAGGACAACCAGAGGAACCCGACCATCAGGAGGAGGACCAAGAGCTTTCTAGAGTACCATCGAGAAGAGGAGGCGCCGAGCAGCCCGGATAAAGACACACAGCCCGAGGAGAAACGCCTCCTGCCCAAACTAGAGGCGCAGATGTGGGCTAAAGAGAACCATGTGGAGGCACACCTCACCCTCCCCCAGAACCACCTGCTCCTGCTGGCCAGCGAGGAAGAGGAGGAGAGCCCCAGCAAGACGCTGGATGTTTATCAACTGGACGTCCGGCCCAATAACGAGCGCGTGAGCCACGTCAGAGACGGGACGGTGGAAAGCGGCAGTTCTCCGGGAAGAGTGCGACCGCAGATGAGCCCGTTACACCTGAAGCTGAGAGGAGACGAGCCCGAGGAGTCGCCCGAGAAACAGGAGGAGGACTCCAGCTGGACCACGCTGTCACAGGAGAGCCCGTCTGTGGAGACGCCTCAGGAGACAGGTGACCAACAGAAATATACGCTCTTCTGCTCACCAGAGCTGCGTTTATTTGATCAAAAATACTGTAAAAATGGTGAAATATTATTAGTATTCAGAATAGCTGTTTTCTGTGTGAATATGTGTTCAAATGTAATGTATGTCTGTGATGCGCAGCTGTATTTTCAGCATCATTCCTCCAGTCTTCAGTGTCACATGATCTTCAGAAATCAGTATAATATGCTGATTTGCTGCTCAAGAAACATTTCTGATTATTATCAATGTTGAAAACAGTCGTGCTGCACAATATTTTTGTGGAAACTGATGCATTTTATTTTTCAGGATTCACAGATGAATAGAAAGTTCAAAAGAACAGCATTTATTTGAAAGAGGAGTCTTTTGTAACACATTATAAATGTCTCTGACACTTTTGATCAATTTAATGCAGCCTTGATCAATCAATTGAAGTAACAATTTCATTCAAAAAAAAAAATCTTTCCAATCCTAAACTTTTGAGCAGTAGTGTTTGTATCTGAAGTCATGCACATCTTTATATGTATCTCCTGTGTAGCAGGAAGCAGCAGTTGCTATGACGACAGACAGTTTCTGTGTGTGTGTGTGTGTGTTGTAGTTGTTTGGGAAGAGCCTCCTCTGGCGCAGGATGTGTCTCAGGAGTATTTTTGGCGTTTTTCAGCTGATTCCACTCCACGAGATCAGCCTGTGGCCGGCGACGCCCACTCTGACCAGGAGGTGGAGCTTAGGGTGAAGGGGGCGTGTCTTCCTGTGCCCTGCACTAAAGCACAGCGTGAGGTAGACTCAGATCTTCATCTCATAATCATAATGTATTTCCTGTTGAAACAGGAACTTAGGGGTGGGAAATATTGAATTAACAAATATTGATTTTTTTGAAGTTGGCACGAAACAAAATTTGCAATCATCTTTTCTTCCCGACTATGACGTATGAGTGAAAAAGCTTCTCAAACGAGAAAACAATTATTTTGTTCGTGAGGACTGATTGAATCGTTGTTGTTTGCTGAAACTAAAACCATTAAAAAAAACGTTTTCATTACTTGAAAAAAACTTAAAAATTAAACTAAATCCATATAAAACATTTTAATTATTTGGAATAAAATAAACCTTAACTTAAAATATATATATATAAAAAAAACTGAACTTATTTAAATATTTTTCAATTTAAGTTTACAATACAATTTACAATGCCATTTTATGTATACTAAAATAACTATATTATATATATATATATATAAAACTATAGATATATAAAAAATGAAATAAAAAAAATACATTGAAAATATTAATAAAAATAAATGTTGTTTTTTTTACTAAATGCCTGAAATAAGGTCTAAACTTAAGATATTTTCATGTTTTATTCTACAACATAAAATATGACATTTTTAAAAACTGTATAGACATAAAAAAAAAAACGAACTAAAATTAAAATGAAAAAAAATTCAAAATATTAATAAAAATATAGTATTATTTTTGTTTAAATGCATGAAAAAAGGACTGTTTATCTCAAGCCCAAGATATTTTCATGTTTTATTTTTATTCTTTTTTAAAATATTTTGATAACATAAAATATATCAGTAAGCTCTTGTCTTGAAAAAGCTGGTGGGACTGCAGAGCTAGTCATTAATCGTCATCCCAGTGAACAGATAAACTCATCTACTCACTAGCTTGATCATAAACTATTAATAGCTGATGGAAAAATCCTTCGTTAGTCAGACACACGTACAAATACTCCAGTGAGCGACAGGTTTTACAAGTATACTAGTCTATACATGAGCTCAAAACTGCAGACGTGAACTCAAACACAGCTGCGCAACTTCTGTCGATCTGTAGAAGCCGAGAAGATTGTTTAAATCAACATACAGTAATATTATTGATTGTCTGACACTGATCGGAGGAGAGCAACACTTATATATAATTATATAATTATATTATATAGAAATGTATAGAATAATGACACTATAGTCTTTGCTAAGCTTCCTTCTGGATTTGTTTCATAATTCAAATGTCAAATGAAAATGTATTTGTAAGGCACTTTACAAATTTAAATAATAATTGTAATAAAAATAACTTGAAATATAATTTTAAATAATATAAATATTCTTTCTTAATTTTAAATAATAATTTTATTTAAAAAAAATAAATAAACAGAATACAAGTTAGTTACAATAATAATAATTTTAAATATAATTTTAAATAATATAAATAAATATAAATAATTATTTTTAAATAATAATTTTATTTAAAAAATAAATGTAATAAACAGAATACAAGTTAGTTACAATAATAGAAGAAAACAAGTATGAAAATAAATGTAATAAAATAAATGCCACAAATGTAATATGGTCATTAAAAATGATGAAAAACTGATGAACGTTGCAACACTGATGCTGTTATTGAACTGAACTGAATCAACATTGAACTGAATTGATCTGAATAATTGTTTTCTGATAATGTTTCCATTAAGTTATGAAAGCAGAATGTTTTTCCAGTTTTAAAAACGACACTTTTTAAACTATTGTTAAGGGAACATTCTATTTTATCATCAAGCCAGTGTTACTTTTGAATGTTCTCTGAAACAAGTAGCAACATTTAAAAACAAAAAGTTCAACGAACGTCCAGACAATGTTTCAGAAAAAACACTCCATGAATAAATGGGACTTGACGTGTGTCTGTGTGTGTGTGTGCCTGATGTGTGTGTGTGTTTGTGTGTGTGTTTGTGTGTGTGTGTGAGTGTCATTGTGTGTTTGTGTGTGTGTGTGTGTCTGTGTGTGTGTGTGTGTGTGTGTGTCTGTTGTGTGTCTGTGTGTGTGTGTGTGTGTCTGTGAGTGTGTGTGTGCCTGATGTGTGTGTGTGTGTGTGTGTGTGCCTGATGTGTGTGTCTGTGTGTGTGTCTGATGTGTGTGTGTGTGTCTGTGTGTGTGTCTGATGTGTGTGTGTGTGTCTGATGTGTGTGTGTGTGAGTGTGTGTGTGTCTGTGTCTATATGTGTGTGTGTGCGTGTGTCTGATGTGTGTCTGTGTCTGTGTGTGTGTGTGTGTGTGTGTGTGTGTGTGTGTGTCTGTGTGTGTGTGTGTGTGTGTGTGT